CGACGAGCAGCAAAGTTGCTGTAAGGGTCTGCAAAGAAGTCTCCAAAAAACTGCCAGCGGTCTTTCCAAAGGCGAGGCTTCGGATAGTACATACGAAAACGCATCGCTAGCCTGCAGCAGCAGCAGCAGCAACAACAACAGCAGCAGCAGCAGTGGTGGTGGTGGTGATGATGATGATGGTTGGGGTGAAGGAAGAGGCGGATGAAGCGCAGAAAGAGACCGAAGAGAGGAGAGCACGAAAAAAAAGCAGCAGCAGCAGCAGCAGCAGCGGCAGCAGCAGAAATGCCTGTGAAGCAGAACTAGCAGCAACAGCAGCAGCAACAGCAGAGCTAGCAGCAGCAACAGCAGCAGCAGCAGCAGCAGCAGTGGCGGTGTTGTTTGTACTTCCGTTCATTTCTCTGTCTCCTTCTGTCTCCTCTGCCGTCTCCTCTCATCCCCAGCAGTCGCCGCGTCTTATCCAACTCATAGTTGTAAAATTTTTCGCCGTAAGGCAGCCGCAGCTCTGCAGCAGCAGCAGCAGAAGCAGCAGCAGCAGCAGCAGCAGCAGCACACGCTCAGGCATTGGCACACAGGTAGAAAGCTGCAGCTTACCGCTAACCGCAGCAGCTCACAAACTCACGCTCAAGCACCAGCTGCAGCAGCAGCAACTACAACAGCAACAGCAGCAACAGCAGCGGCAGCAACGGCAGCAACTGCAACAGCAGCAGCAGCAGACTGACCGTAAGGTCTATCTGTCTCCGCGAGGAGGTGGCGGTCTTCAAATGACCCGGGGAGAGGCCGCCCCAACTCCAGCAGACGCATAAACCAATGCCGATCTCCCTGCAGCAGCAGCAGCAGCAGCAACAGCAACAGTAACAGCAGCAGCAGCAAGATCCCCATCTGCAAGAGCTTCAGGACCTCCAGCAGCACAGCTAGCAGCAGCAATGACAGCGCCGCCTCTGCGCTGTAGGCAGCAGCAACAGCAGCAGCAACGAAAACAGCAACAGTAGAGGCAGCCACAGCAGCAGCAACGGTAGCGGCAGCAGAAGCAGCAACAGCAGCAGCAGCATTGAGCGGCTACCTGCATGGTGGAGAATTGCAGCAGCAGATCATCAACTTTCTTAAGGGGGACGCCTGCTGCAGCAGCAACAGCCTTGCGAATGAAAGGAGACAGCCCCGAGGGACAGGTAAGCCGCAACTCAGAAGGAGACAGACACTCCAATATTGAGACTGCAGCAACAGCAGCAGCAGCAACAGCAGCAGCAGCAACAGCAGCAACAGCAACAGCAGCAGCAGCAACAGCAGCAGCAGAACAAACAAACAAACAAACGACGCATGCACACGCAAACAAAGAGGTTGAAAGGAGACAGTGAACCAAAGGCATCTCTTTTGCTGCCGGAGGAGACAGCAGCAAAACGATGCTGTCTCCGCGCTGTCTCCTTTTCTTGTGTCTCCTTTTATGCTTCTGTCTCTTTTCTTGTCTCCTTCTGTCTGTGTCTCCTCCTGCCATCCGTCTGTCTCCTTTCTTGTCTGTGTGCCTCTCTGTCTCTGCTGCTGTCTCTGTCTCTGCTGCTCTCTCTGTCTCTGCCTCTGCTGCTGTCTCTGTCTCCGTCTCTGCTGCTGTCTCTGTCTCTGTCTCTGTCTCTGCTGCTGTCTCTGTCTCTGTCTCTGTCTCTGTCTCTGTCTCTTTGTCTCTTCTTCCCATCTCTTTTATTCTGTCTCCTTTGTGCTGTCTCCTTTCTGCGTTTATATTCGTCTATTTGGGGTGTATAGGCACCTTCTTCTTTGAACTGCTGCACTTCCTTCGAATCTGCTGCAGCAAACTGCTGCAGCCCTGCTGCTGACAGCCGCCGCCCAATGCGGCGCCGCAGGCCCCCCAACTCTTCCTCGCATGCAATTAAAAATAAAAGCAAATTCTGCAGCAGCAGCAGCAGCAGCAACAGCAGTGGTCATGGTTTTAGTAGCGCACGGAATAAGGGGAGCAGCAGCAGCAGAAAGACTTGCTGTAGCAGCAGCAACAATAACAACAGCAGCAACAACTGCAGCAGCAGCAGCAATAACAACAGCAGCAGTAACAGCAACAAGAACAACAACAACATCAGCAGCAGCAGCAGCAGGAACAGCAGCAGCAAACCCGTTTGAGCGTGAGGAAGTCTTCAAGAGTGAATAGACCCTGCTTAGCCATCAGCTGCTTTATATAGAAAACATAAAACTGCTGCAGCAGCAACTGCTGCTTCTGCTGCATGCGTCCTTCTCTATCTGTCAAAAAGGAGACAACCTCTCTACCCTGAGGAGACAAAACAAGAAAAAATTAACAGCAGCAAATAGAGTTCATCCAACAGCAGCATCAAAAACAACAGTAGCAGCAGCAGCAGCAGCAATAACAACTGCAGCAACAGAAACAACAACAGCAGCATCCCGTCATCAGCAGCAGGAGCTGCAATAAGAAACAGCAGCAGCAGCAGCAGCGGCAGCAGCAGCGGCAGCAGCAGCAGCAGCAGCATGCATGCATGGATGCATTTGGAGACAAACTTTTCGTTCGATGGCCATGAAGGACTCAAATATTTTATTGGGTGCAGCAGCAGCAGCAACAGCAGTAGCAGCACAATGCTGCTGATCCCCCGACGGCTTAAGACGCGGATTGTTGCTGCTGCTGCCTGCAACGCGATGAAATATATCAACAGCACCAAATGAACGAAACTGAAGAGACAAACAAGGGACGCGAGCTGCTGCTGCTGCTGTTGCTGCTGCTGCTGCTGCTGGCGCTGCTGCTGTTGCTGCTGCTATTGCTGCTGCTGGTGATCGGAATCCAGAAAATGCCGCAGGAGCCGCTGGAGCAAATAAAGAAGGCGCAGCAGAAGCAGCAGCAGCTGCTGCTGTTGCTGCTGCTGCTGTCATGCGTGGGGACCTTCGCACTCCTGCTGGAGCAGTTGCTCGTGTCCTTCCTGCTGCTGTTTCTGCTGTTGCTGCTACTTTAGCAGCAGCAGCAACTGCTGCTGCTGCTGAATGGAGACAGTCGCCATTAAGGGGTCTGGAGAGGCCGAGGGGACAGCGGAAGACAGACATCTCGAGCAGCAGCAGCAACAGCAGCAGCCGCAGCAGCAGCCGCAGCAGCAGCTCAGGAAGAAGACAGCGAGAAAAGAGACAAAGGAGACTGAGGCTCTCTGCAGTGTACAGGCAGAAGGAGTAAAAGGAGACAAACGAAGAGAAGGAGACACAACAGCAGCAACAGCAAATGAAAGAGACAGCAAGCGAATGGAGACAGCTACAAGCAGACGCAAGCCAGCTGCAACAGAGGCAGAAGACCCGGCGCTAACGAGAGATAGGGACACAGCCTAAACCCTAAACCCTAAACCCTCGACAAGGCGAGGCAGAGCACTAAGAGCAAAGCCATTGCTTAAGGGCCTAGGGTTTAGGGTTTAGGGTTTAGGGTTTGGGGTTTGTAGGGCACAAGAAAAATAGCTCAAGGCCAATGCAAGCCAGGGAAAGAAGACTTCAGATTTGCTGCTAAAGAGTGAGTTGCTGCTGCTGTTGCTGCTGTTGCTGCTGCTGTTGCTGCTGCTGCTGCATGCGGCAGCAAGAAGGAGCCGCTGTGTGAACTCAGGCTTTAGCGTTCTGATATTTCTTTAATAAATAATAAAAAGAAAATAAGAAGAAAACAATTATTTAGTTTATCTGGGGCTGGGCCCCGAGCCGCATGCTGTCTGGTCAGCAGCAGCAGCAGCAACAGCAGCAGCAGCAGCAACACCAGCAGCAACGCCGCTGCAGTTCGATCTCCTGTCCCTGTTGTGTGTCGATTACTCCTCGGTTTAGGGTTTAGGGTTTAGGGTTTAGGGTTTATTTCTTCTGGTTTATCACTTATGGTTAAGGGTTTAGGGCTAACGATTTAGGGTTTAGGGTTTAGGGTTTAGGGTTTAGGGTTTATGCCACCAGGCGGCCGCAGCCGACTGCAGCAGGGACGCGGCAGCAGCAAAGTCGTGTCTGTGTCTCTTTGTCTCCTTTCTGTTGCTTTCCTTTAAATTAATCTGCTGTCTCCTCTCTGGGCCTCTCATAACACCTGCTGGAAGCCTCCCGTCAGCAGCAGCAGCAGCAGCAGCAGCAGCAGCTGCTGCTGCTGCTGCTCTTGCTGCTGCCGTTGCTGTAGTTGTTGCTGCTGTTGCTGCTGAAACAACGACGCTGAAAGCAGATCCGTGCTGCTGGTGAAGCAACACAGGCGCCGACAGCAGCAACAGCGGCAGCAGCAGTAGCAACAGCTGCAGCAGCAGCAGCAGACGCGACGCACGTGCAGCAGCAACCTCTGCATCCGCAGTAAGAGGGGGAGCAGCAGCAGCGAGATCAGTGACAGTAGCAGCAGCAGAAGCGAGATCAGCAACAGCAGCAGCAGCAGAAGCAAGATCAGCAGCAGCAGCAGCAGCGAGATCAGCAACAGCAGCAGCAGCGGCAGCAGCAGTAAGCGACACGGTATGCAGCCTTTGCCCCCTGGTGAAGAGAGTGCTGCTTCTGCTGCTGCTGCCGATGCTGCTTCCTCTCCTGCTTCGGAAGTGGCAGCAAATGCAGCAGACACCGCCCCTGCTGCTGCAGCAGAAGCAGCAGCAACGTCTGCTGTTCCTGCGGCACCAGCAGCAGGGGTAACAGCAGACTGCGACAGCAGCAGCAACCAGCAGCATTGCAACAATGTCGCCCTCATAGCTAACTTAGACACAGCAGCAGCAGCAACAGCAGCAGCAGGAGAAACAGCAGCAGCAGAAACAGCAGCAGCAGAAACAGCAACAGCAGAAACAGCAAGAACGGCAGATGCTGCTGCGGTAGACGACTATTCTCTTCAGCCACCAACAAAATCAGTAATCAGTGCAGCAGCAGCTGCTGCTGATGATGCTGGTGCTGATGCTGCAGCAGCAGCAGCTGCTGAAGATGATGCTGCAGATGCTGCTGCAGCAGCAACTGCTACTGCAGGCGCTTCAGCAACCCAATCTCCCGCTGCAGCATTTAACCGCCACCCTACGACTTTAGCTGACGTTGCGGGAGGCTCCCCCCTCACTCGTTTGAACAGCAGCAGCAGCAACAGCAGCAGCAGCAACAGCAGCAGCAGCTGGTGGTGGTGTGATTCTGAAGGAGCTGAGTCTGCGGGGTTTATAAAGGTTAGAAGTTTTGCTGAAGATGTCCCTAAAGGAGAGGAGACACTTATATCCAACGACCAGTCTCTCTTAGCCATTCTTAGCAGCAGCAGCAGCAGCAGCAGCAGGAAGTGCTGCTGCTGCTGTGACAGCAGCAAGGAAGAAAAGGAATGCAGCCAGTGCAGCAGAAACGCCACGAGTTGCTGCACAGGGCCTGGCGCACCCCAAGAACCTGCTCAGCAACAGCAACAGCAGCAGCAGCAGCAACAGCAGCAGCAACAGGAGCAGCAGAAGCTGCACATTGATTCGGCCCCCATTCGGTATGGGAAGCTGCGCTGTTTTGCTGCTGCTGCTCCATCGGGTGCTGCTGCTGCTGCGGGCTCTTCTGCTGCTGCTACAGCAGCAGCAGCAAAAGGGTTCCGGTGGCGGGGGAAGCTGCTGCTGCCTGGGGAAGTGACAGCAGCAAAGGCGACACACGAACGCAGCAGCAGCAGCAGCAGCAGAAAGAGGCAGCGATTTAACAAGGGGGTTTTGATGCATCGTTGTGCTGCTGCTGTTTGGGCTGAGCTGCCCCCCGTCCTCTCACAGCAGCAGCAGCAGCAGCAGCAGCAGCGGACGCAAGTCTTGTGTTGTCTCGGCACCGACGCGCTGCAGCTGTTTGTATTTCAGGCTGTATGTACACCCGAAGCTCCTCTGCTTCCTTGGCAAGAACTTCAGCTGAGAAGCAAGGAAGACTCCTGCTGCAGTTGCAATAGCAGCAACAAGAGCAGCAACAGCAGCAGCAGCAACAACAGCAGCGGCAGCAGCAACAGCAGCAACAGCAGCAGCAGCAGCAACAGCAGCAGCAACAACAGCAGCAGCAACAGCAGCAACAGCAGCAGCAGCAGGTACTGGCAAGGGGCAGCTTTTGTTGAGGCGTCCGATGCTGAGGGAGACAGTTTGCTGCTGCTGCAGTGGCAGGTAGGCAGCGAGCGCTCTAGCAGCAGCAGCAGCAGCAACAACAGCAACAGCAGCAGCAACAACAGTAGCAACTGCAGCAGCAGCAACTGCATCTTGTTGTATTCTCTCTCGCTCTCTGCTCTCAAGGACCTTGCTGATCCATCCAAACAGCAGCAGCAGCAGCAGCAGCAGCGGGAGGCGACGCGAAGTCCTGCAGCACACGCAAGCAGCAACATCGACAGCAGCAGCAGCAGCAACAGCACCAATGATCGTTGGAGGCTTTTGGTGAGCGGGCGCAGCGATTTGCTGCTCCTGCTGAACGATGCGGTTTGTCTCCGCCTTCATCTGGGTGCTGCTGGTGTCTCCCTCAGGAGACGCTTCTTGCTGCAGCTGCCTGTCTCCCTGCCTGCTCCAAACAGCAGCAGCAGCAGCAGCAGCAGCAGCAAGGGTTCCCGCAGAGGCGCCCAACTACCCCTCCAGCAATTTGTTGATGTCTGCTGCTGCTCCTCTTACCTTTATGCAATTACAGCGCCGCCGCTGCAGCAGATTCTTATTTGGGGTGTATCGACAGGTGTGGCAGTGCATGCGCTGGAGCTGCCTCTGTACGACCCCCAGCCGCAGCAGCAGCAGCAGCAACAGCAGCAGCAGCACAAGAGCAGCAGCGAACGGTTGGCCGACAGTCGATGCCAAAGCCGCAGCGACTGGGAGAGCGGCAGCAGCAGTAACAAGAGCAGTAGCAGCAGCAGTAGCAGCTGCTGCTGCTGCAGCGCAGCTGCAGCAGCAAGAGCACGTGCAGGAGAGCTGCCGGTGCTGCTGCTGTCAGTGCGTGTGAGCCGCGACTCGCTGCACCTTGTGATTGGAGACAGCAGGAACTGTCTCCGCGTTGTCTCTTTGAAGGCCTACTTTGCTGCTGCAGCAGGTGCAGCAGCAGCAGCAGCAAGCTGGGGTGATGCAGCAGAAAACAGCTTTGAATCAACTCACTTGGGAGAGAGACAAAGAGCAGCGCAAGGCCTCCAGCTAAAGAGACAGTTGCTGCCTGCTGCTGCTGCTCTTTCAGCGTTTCCCTCCGCCTTCGGTCTCCTCGCGCTGCGCTTGCGCCTTGCTGCAGCAACACCTGCTGCTGCTGCACCTGCTGCCGCTGCACCTGCTGCTGCTGCTACAGCTGCAGAGGCTTACAGACAAGTTCTTGAGGCCTGTGACTTTGTCTCTTCTACCATCCGCCGTGGAGACCCTATTGTCCCCGCGGGATCGTCTCCCTGCAGCAGCAGCAGCAGCAGCTGCTGCTGCATCAGCAGCAGCGGGGGAGGAGACAGCAGCAGCAGCACAGAGAGTGCCGTTGTTTTTGTGTCGCATGATGCGCTTCTCTTTCTGCAGCAGGTGGTCGTGAAGAAGCAGCAGCAGCGGCAGCAGCGGCAGTGGCAGCAGCAGCAGCGGCGACAGGCGCAGCAGCAGCTGCGCGAGGAGCTGCAGTTGGCGCTGCTGCACCAGGATACGCGATCCCAGTTGCTGCTGCAGCGGCAGCAGCTGCTGCAGCAATACGAGCGCTTCTGCATGCACAGAGGAGCAGCAGACAGAAGCGCAGAGCGCTGTCTCTGGACGGGAGCATGGGGGCCTCTGCAGCAATTGAAAGAGCAGCAGCAGCAACAGCAGCAAGTTGCTTGGCTGCTGCCCCCCTATGAACTGCAGCAGCAACCGGCGGGGAGCCAGGCGTGGCAAGAGCTGCAGCAGCTGCAGCAAGACTTGCCGCTGCAGCTGCTGCAGCTGCAGCCCCCCTGCGGTGGCCCACAAGGCCCAGCAGCAGAAGCGAGTCCCCTTTTAGCAGAGTTGGAGACACTTATGGATGCATGTGCTGTGGTGAGGCGTTGCTGCTGCTGCTGCTTCTGCTGCTGTTGCTGCTGCTATTAGGACGTGGCTGCCGCAACTGTTGCTGCTGCTGCTGCTACAGTTTCTGTTGCCTCTGCTGCATTTATTGTTACATGCGAAGGCCGTTCAGCTTGTCTGATGTAGAAGGACTGCTGCTTCTTGTGGGGTTTCTGGTTCCTGCTGCTGCTGCTGCTGCTGCTGCTGCTGCTGCTGCATGCAGGGTACGGAAGCAGCAGTGGAAGAACTCCCAACCGGCCTCTCCTCGTCGAGCACGGAGGAGCTTGTTGAGTTGTTGGCGTCTTTTGCCAACGAACAGCAGCAGCAGCAGCAGCAGCAGCAGCAGCAGCAGCAGCAGCCGCAGCCGCAGCAGCTGCAGCAGTGGAAGAGCCCCATCTGCAGGCTTCACGACACAGCAGCAAAGCTGCAGCAACTGCAGCGCGAGCGCGCCCTGAGGCAAGCCCGTCCCTCATGGCTGTACGTCGCAGCGTTGCCTTTCCTATGCAGCAGCAACTGCTGCAACAGCAGCAGCAATGCTTGCAGCAACAGCAGCAGCGCGAGGAAGCCTTTGCTGCTGGATGCGGCGCTGTCTCCTCAGACCCCAGAATCGAACTCTGATGAAACCCTGGCAGCCAGCAGCAGCAGCAGCAGCAGCAGCGATGGCGAAAGTAGCAGCAGCAGTAGCAGTAGCTGCGACTTGGGAGGCGGCAGCAGCCTCACGTCAGCGGCAGCATCAAGCAGCAGCAGCAGCAGCAACCGCTTCCAGTGCTGCAGCTCGCTTCGGGTCTTCCCTAGCGACGCGTTTATCCTTGTTGAAGGCATTTTATGCTGCAGCAGCAAACGGTGCAGTCACGGAAACAAGCGCAGGAGCAGCAGCAGCAGCAGCAGCACCTGCTGCTGCTGCTGCTGCTTTGGTTGCTGCTGCAACGTTTCTTACAGGTGTTGGCTGGTGTCGTGGCCGTCTGCTTCGTGGGGCAATGACACTAAACCGCATGCTGCTGCTGCACCTGTTGCTGCTGCTGCTCTTGGCGGGGGCAGCAGCGGCTTTCTGTCTCCATGGCTTCAGAACGAAAGCAGCAAGCTGATCGGAAGCAACAGCAGCAGCAGTAGCAGCAGCAGCAGGCGACAGCAGCAGCAGCAACAGCAGCCTGGTGAGCTGCTGGTGCAGCCGTGTGTCGCTCAGCAGCTGTCGCTGGGAGTTGTGTCTTGCTGCTGCCGTGCTGCGCTGCTGATACAGCCAAGCAAAGGTGTTTTGTTTGCTGCTGTGGCTGGCAGCAGCACCTTCCAGCTGCTGCAGCGCGTGCTGCTGATGCAAGGCCCACGCGCGGCAGTCACGTTCTGCATGCAAAACGATTTAGACAGCAGCAAGGTGGGGCTGCTGCTGCTGCAGCTGGCGCTGCGATGCAGAGACCTCAAGCGGATAGCAGAAGCCTTGCTACTGCTGCAGCAGCAGCAGCAAATGATTGCCATGAGGCTCCTGATGGCCTTTGTTTTTAATGGGTATAGCGCAGAGACGCTCCCCTTTGCTTTTGCTGCACCCGAACGGGCTGCCCAGCCAGCTGCTGCTGCTGCTGCTGCTGCCGATACGCCATCTGTGTACGAGTCGACGGCAATCGCTCAGCACGCGTTGCTGCTGCTGCAAGGACTGCATCAGCAGCAACAGCAGCAGCAGCAGTGCTGCAGCGAACTGCACCGGCTGAGGGACCCCTGCCTCTTAAGCCGAAGATATGACGGCAGCAACAGCAGCAGCAGCAGAAGCGACAGCAGCAGCAGCTGCAGCAGCACTGAAACAAGCATTCTGTTTCCGCCTTCTTTGGTGTCTCTGGTGGCGCCTTCGCAAGCGGCACCAACAGCAGCAGCACCAGGCGCAAGAGCAGCAGCAGAAGACCCAGCAGCAGCAGCAGCAGGCATGCCTTCTGCTGCTGTGCATCTTCAGTGTGAAGCAGCATCGCTACGGGACATAGGGTTTAGCTCGCGTTTGCTGCTGCGGCTGCTGCAATTTGCTGCGTCTCTCACAGACATTCGCGTTCTGGCTAAGATAGACCTTGCAGCAGCAGCAGCTCCTTCTGATGCTGCACCAAGCCAGCAGCAGCAGCAGCAACAACAGCTTACAGATGAGCTGTCGGAGCTTGCGCTGTACGTGAGGCTTCTGCGGTGGCTGCAGCAGCGCGTGTCTGCTGCTGCCGCTGGGCAGCAGCAGGCAGAGCATCAGCAGCAGCAGCAGGCGGTGATGCTCCGTGGCTCGTATCTTGCTCAGCAGCAGCAGCAACAGCAGCAGCAGCAACAGGACAGATTTGCTGTAACGCAGAGAGACGCCGAACTGCCCTGGGGCCCTGATGTCTCTTTGGAGACAGTTGTTAGGGAGACTCTGCTGAGTGGGCGTATCAGCACGGGCTTGCTGTGGCTGCAGAAGCAACTGCAGCAGCAGCAGCATCAGCAGCAGCAGCAGCGTGTTTCCGCAATGGATTTGCTGCAGCAGGTCGCCAACCGAATGGCCTACAGACTCTTCTGCTGCCAGCAAGCTGAGCTCTTCTTTGTCGGGCTGCAGATGCTGCGGCAGATTGGGGTGAGGACTCGTATCAACCTGCTGCTCCTGCTGCTGCTGCTGCTGGCCTGTGCTTCTGCAGCGTACAGTTTGTCTTACTTAGCCCGGATTGGTTGCTGCGGCAGAGCTGCTGCTGCAGCAGCAGCAGCAGCAAATAGAATTGCTTGCTCTGCCTCCATTGACTCTGCTGCTGGGTTCTTCTGTTTCCTCCTCACTGCTGCTGCTGCTGCTCGTGTTGTTGCTACTGCTGCTGCTGCTGCAGGTAGATATTCCTGGGTTTTGTCTTCGTGCTGCGCTGCTAACAACTCGAACGCCTGTCCGTCGCCGTTTGCTGCGGCACCTCTACCACCAGCAGCAGCTCCAACCGAAGCACATGCGCCTCATCCGCATTATGCAGGTGCTGCTGCTGCTCGTGCTGCTGCTGCTGCTCGTGCTGCTGCTGCTGCTGCTGCTTTATGGTTTCGGCGTACCGTGAGACAGACGCTGCTGCAGCAGTGCTGTCTCCCTGCTGCACGACCGTTGCGGCTTAAAAGAGCCATTTGGTGCTGAAGGGGTGTATCTGCTGCTGCAGCAGCTGGCGGTTATGCCTGCTGCTGCAGCTGCTGCAACAAGGGTTGATCTGCTGCTGCATCTGTGAGCATGTGCTGCTGCAGGTGCTTGAGCTGTTGTTCACTGACCCTTCTTATGAGGCTGAGCTAGCCAGGCGCTTCAGTGCTCTAGCAATTGTAGCAGAAGCAGCAGCGGGAGCTGCTGCAGCCGAAGGGGACGCAGCCTCAAATGCACACAGCAGCAGCAGCAGCAGCAGCAGCAGCAGGCGAGTTGACGCTGCAGCAACAGCTGCAGCAGACGAATGCTGGCCAGCAGGCGGCACTGCTGCCCTTCGAGCTGGAGCTCTGTGCGACGGCTATGTCTCCTTGAGGCTGAGGAAGCAAATCCTGCAGCAGCAGCAGCAGCAGCGGCAGCAGAGGGAAGAGCGGAGAGACAGAAGCGTCTATGCAGGCAAGCAGCCCATGAGAACAAAGAAAGGAGACAAGAGACACAACAGAGACAGAAGCACAGAGGCACTGCAGAGAGACAGCACCAGAGCGTAGACCTAGAGGGAAGAAGGAGACAGATAAAGAGAGACAGATATAACAGAAGAGATGCACAGATAACGAAAGAGAAAAGGAGACACCTGCGCAGCGAAGCTAAAGACAGAAGGCAGAAGCAACGCAGACAAATGGAGACAGACACAACAAAAAGGAAACAGACAGCTGCAGCACACAGAGGAGACACAGCAGCGAAAGAGACAGAAGGAGACAGATGAATCTGCTCACAGCAACAGACAGATGAGGAGACAGACAGAAGGGCTGATATTCAGAGCACAGTTTATATATATATGCAGACTATATAAATGCATTTTATTTATTCATATATACATATATATAAACAACGGAGACAATCGGGGTCTTTAGAGACACATTCAAACTCTTCGTTGCTCTTCAGGCTGAAGGTCATCTCTTTGCATTCCCTCGCATGCGCTGCCTTGTGTTTTGCTGCTGCTGCGCTGGCTTCTGCTGCACTTGCTGCTGCTGCGCTTGCTGCTGCTGCACTTGCTGCTGCTGTGGCGTTGTGGCAGGCGGCAGTCGCGTTGCTGCAGCAGCAGAGCCCAGCCTTACCTTTACGCCTGAGCGACACCCCAAAGAAGCTCTGAGGGTACCGGAGCTGCTGTTGCTGCTGTTGCTGCTGCTGTTGCTGCTGTTGCTGTTACTGTTGCTGCTGCTGTCTGTACACCATCAGGTGTTAATGAGTGTTTTGCGGCGCACTCGGTGCAACTCAACGACAGTTGGGTACGGCTACAGCAATAGCAGCAGCAGCTGCTGCTGCAGCTGCTGAAGCTGCAGCTAGAAGGGGTATTGTGCGTTTCTGCTGCAGGCATGGGCTCACCTGAGCTGTGGAGAGGTGCCAGATCTAGCGGAGTGCTGCTTTTCTGGAGTTGCTGCTGCTGCTGCTGCTGCAGCTGCTGCTCCCCCAGCCGACAGCCGTGAATGCAGCGTCAGCAGCGAGGTTTTGCAGCAGCAGCAGCAGCAGCAGCAGCATCTGCTGCTGTCGCACGGCACTGCAGAAGACAATGCTGCTGCGGCGTACGTCCAGCGCGCATGTGGCGTTTCGCTGGAGGCAGAAGCGGATGTGCTGCAGCTGCAGCAGGCAGCAGCAACTGCTGCAGCAGCACCGACGCAGCAGCAGCAGCAGCAATACGCTGTCACCCTTCAGGCGAACCTTCGGTAGGTCCCTAATAGAGAGGGGAGCTGAGCAGCAGAAGGAGACAAGAACAATGCGGCTAGGCTAGGGCCTGTGAACGAGGAGACACTGAAACAGAAGAGCAGCTGCCTGCGCTGTTGTTGCAGCAGCAGCAGCAGAGTTGCATGCATTTCTATTGAGTCTCCTTGGTTTGCTTGAAGTGATTTTGATTTGTTTATTACTAAAACCTGCCGCTGTATGTGCAGCATTATGCTGCGCCTGTCTCTTCTTTGTCTCCTACTGGCTGCTTGTCTCTTCTTGTGTTGCGTGCTGCCGCTGGATATCTTTCTGTCCCCCTTTGATTCCCTGTCTCCTTTTCATCTCTTGCCCCTTTGTCTCTGAGTCGAAGCTGCAAATAAAGAATTGCCTTTTTTGTCTGTCTCCACTGCTGCTGTTGCTGCTTGCTGCTGGTGCTGCTGCTGCAGGGGCTCCTGTTCTGAGTGCAGTAGGCTCCTTGCTGGGGAGAAAGATTTGTTTGCTCTCTTCACGGCCCAGCCGCCGGCAAATGACCCTGCAGCAGCAGCTGCTGCTGCTGCTGCAGCGCATGCATCTCTGGGGGGCTACATCAGCCTGTCTCTCTTTGAGCTGTCTCTCTTTAAGCCCACCTCCATCTTGCGAATATTCGCTGAGAAGAGACACGTAGCCCTTGTGCACAAGCTCAGCTCTCCCACCCGCAGCAGCAGCAGGAGGCCGCAGCATCTGCAACAGCAGCAGCAGCAGCAGCAGCAGCAAGGAGTGCGTACGTTGTGGGAGGTGGCTGCGGGGTGTCTCCGCATCTCTGAGGGGAAGAAGAGCTCTCTTGTATGGAGATGCATTTTTGCGTTTTGTTTGGCGCACTTCGATTGGAGGGGGACTGCCCTTTGTGTCTCCGAGATGCCTATACACCCCAGCATTGCCTGCGACCCCTGGGGACGCCTCAAGCTTGCGGATGCTGCTGCAGCCAGAAGCAGCAGCAGCAGCAGCAGCAGCAGGAATAAGAGGAAGCCGTTGCTGCTGCTGAACCGTATCCTATCCTTCCTTCAGAGACGCAGGGAGAGAGGAGACTCCGTTTTCCTTGATGAGCTGCTGCTGCAGCAGCTGGCTCGCCGAGGCCTTTTTCTGGAGGCAGTGGGGGCAGCAGCAACAGCAGCAGCAGATACTGCAGCAGCAGCAGCAGTGGATACTACGGGAGCTGCAGCAGCAGCAGCAGCACGAACAGATCCCGATGATACAGCGCTAGCGCTGCTGCTGCAGAGACTCGCAAAAGCTGGCTGCCTGTTCAAGAGACACCAGCAGCAGCAGAAGCAGCAACAGCACCAGCAAGTTTGCGTGGCAACTGATGAGATGCTCCCTGTGGGGTGCCTGTCTCCGTTGCATCTTTTTGTTGTTCGCCTGTGCCTATCGAATTGTCTCCCCTCGCTGTTCATCTCTTATTTGGAGGTAAGAACTCCAGCGTAGCGTGCATTGCTGCTGTGGCTGCAACTTCCGTTCCTGCTGCTGCTACTGCTGCTGCTGCTGCTGCTGCTGCGCTCTCTCTTCAGTGGCTTGTGTGTTGCTGCTTGCCTTCTGAATAGGGGGAAGGGGACAGGCGCTGAGGCATTTGTTTTTGTTTGGTGCTCTGGGTTGTGTTCTTGTCGTGGGTGGCTATATCCGAGTGTTTATATTACGTTGCTGCTTTGCTGTTTGCTGCGCTGCTGCTGCTGCTGCTACTGCTGCTGCTCCTGCTGCTTCGCCCGCGTTGGCTATCTCTTCTTGCTTCCGCCTGTCTCCGTCTGTCTCCGCTCAGCATTTCCATCTGGCGGCCGACTTCACAACACAACAGCACTTAAAGGCGAGGATCCGAGCTGGAAGCAGCAGCAGCAACAGCAGCAGCAACAGCAACAGCAGCAAGAGCATGCCTCAATGGGTCTCCGTGGCTCTGCTAGGCCGACTGGGGAATCACGCCCTTGCTGCTGCAGGGATGCACCAAGCAGCAGCTCATCTCTGCCCTGAAGGTCTGGTGCTGTTGCTTCTGCTGTTGCTGCTGCTGCTGCTGATGGGCTGACGTTGTGTTTTCGCCGCTGTCCTTATTCCGTTGCTGCTGGCGCGTCTACTGCTGCTGCAGCAGAGCAGCAGCTGCCTTTCTGCTGAAGCAGAGTTGCCTGAAAGTTAGGCATAGGGTTTATGGATTAGGGTTTAGGGATTAGGGTTTAGGGATTAGGGTTTAGGGTTTAGGGGTTTGGGGTTTTGAGTGTGCGTACACTTCGTAGGTGGCCCTGACGTTTGGTTCGACTCGGAGGGGACAGCCTTCTTGCCGCTGTCTGCTGTAGCTCATCTGTCTCCGCCAATGTTTGTTTGTCTCCTCGCCTTCATCCCTCAGCCTTCTGCTGCTGCTGCTGCTGCTGGTGGCAGTCGGAGACAGCTGGATCTGTTCTCTGTCTCTCGTGAAGACCTGAGGTAAGCAGCAAATGCGGCTGTCTCCTGGTGTGTTGTCTCTCACACCCTTTCGTCTTTTGTATCTGTTTGTTATTTGTTTGGAGTTGTTGTTTAACTGCCTCCTCTAGCCTGCTGTCTCTGTCTCTTCTGTCTCCTGCACTGTCTCTGTCTCTTTTGCTCTCCTCTTTCTGTCTCTCCCCCTTACTGCATGCCGTTTGCCTTCCTTTGCGCCTGAAAGTCTCTGTCGAAGTACTCCTTTGTTTATTTCATTTCATAATATGCTTATTTCATATCATTGTTTATTTCCATGTATATGCTTGCATAGAAATATGCATGTAGGAACATGTGATGAACATGCATCGCTCTCTCTCTCTCTCTGTATATATATATATATATACATCTATATGTATATATATATATATATACGTATATACTTATATATGGGCAGATCCATGTAGGTTATCAATATATACCAGTCTATATACATATATATATATATAGTTTTTCTTTCTTGCATGTATATATGCACATACGTTTACATAAATGCATGCACATATATATATATATATATATATATATTGCTTGTCCGCCGTTCAGGGTTGGTTTGGCTCCATTTAAAGAATTGGCGAGGGCTTACTTTGTGCAGCCTAGCGACGCTCATGAAGTGCAGCAGCAGCAACCGCAGCAGCAAGAGCCGGAAGAGCAGCAGCAACAGCAGCAGCAACAGCAGCAGCAGAAGCAGCAAGGAGGGCCTGCGGCTCTTAACACGTGTCTTTTCGCTGAGTCTCTTTTGGAGCAGCAAAGGCGCATAATGCAGTACGAGTCTCCTGTAGAGCAGCAGCAGCAGCAACAGCAGCAACAGCAGCAGCAGCAGCAGCAAGATCCCTCTTGCTTCCTTGTGGACATGAAGACATGGCGCAAAGATGTCTCCTTGTTAGACCTGCTATCTGAGTGCTTCGCCTCCCTCGATGTGGGGGCTTTGCTGCAGCCAGTTGACGTTTTTGCTGCTGCTGCTGCTGCTGCTGCTGGCGCTGCCCCTGCTGGTGCTAGGCCTGCTGAAACGCAAGGAGTAGCCGACGCAAAGGCTGCAGCAGCAGCAGCAACAACAGCAGCAACAGCAACAACGACAAGAGCGAGAGAAGCGCTGCCGCTGGCAGTTAGGCAAGCTTTTCTAAGCGGAGAGGCCTTCACGTCTTTGCTGCAGCGGCTGCATGCACCAGCAGCACCTGGGACACTTGGCTTCAGCGGCAGCAGCAGCAGCAACCGCAGCAGCAACAGCGAGGGCTTGAGTGTAGCCTATTTTCTTTCTCAGGGCCGTCCTTCTGCTGCATTCCACTTGCTGCTGGCCAGCCGCAGCAGCTGCCGTTGCTGCCGTGCTCAGGTAGGTAAAGAGTGCAGCAGCAGCAGCAGCAGCGATGGCGGCGCGTGTGCATGTGCTGCTGCTGCTGGAGCAGCGGAGGGCCAGCTGCTGCAGCTAAGCCCGGAAGAGGAAGACTTGCTGCAGCAGACAGCAATGCAAGTTGCCTTTTATAATCTTCTTGACGAGGGGACTGTCTCCTCCTGTCTCCTTTTCTTGGAGCTCTGCAACCTGGATGCAACTATGCTAAGGGTGGATGCCCAGTCAGCCCGTAGGATCTACGAGCATCAGCAGCTGCAGCAGCAGCAGCAGCAAGCTTCCGCTGTGGAAGGGGCAAGCAACAAAGCAACAGGAGAACCAATCGATGATGCTGCTGCTGCTTCTGTTATACAACTCTTTCGGGCCTTCCCCCGTCCCTCTTCAGCAAAGTGCATGAGCAGTAGCTGCAACAACAGCAACCGCAACAGCAGCAGCAGCAGCAGCAGCACCAACAACAGCAGCAACAGGAGTAGCCGCGGCATATCATCCCCGCACTTGCTGTCAGCACTTCGTCTCCTAGAAGAGGCCACTTGGGCCCTAAGCGCTCCCCCGCAGACAGCAGCAGGGGGGCATGCAGCAGCTGCTGCTGCCGCCGCTGCAGTGAAGAGACAGGATACTAACCCGTGGCACTTGGTTGCGCACTTCTGCAGGTAGGCTGCCTTCAGCGCTGCAGCTGTTTCTCTGGTGAATCTGCTTGCTGCTTGCTGCTGTTGCTGCCTGGGACAGTATTCTGCTGCTGCTGCTGTTGGGCGCTGCTGACGCTGCTGCTTCGCTGCTGCTGATGCTGCTGCTGCTGCTGCTGCTGCTGCAGGGTCCACGAGCTGCCTCATTCTTTGACTCTGCTGCACGAGTTGGCGAGGAAAGGAGACTGGCTGTCTGTCTTGCATGAAGCTGAACTGCAGCGCTGCCCCAAAGACACCCTGAAGGGGGTTATTGACGGGTAATGCTGTGGCTGCTGCTGGTGTTGCTGCTGTTGCTGCTGCTGCTGCTACGCGACTTGTGGCGCTTTGGGTGTTGCTTTGCTGCAGCTACTTCACAGACCCCTGTTTGCGAGGTCACTTGAAGCGGGCCATTGGCTGCAGCAGCAGCTCCCGTGCAGCAGCAGCAGAAGCAGACTCCCCTTGGCGCGACTCCGAGGATCCCCTTCGGCTCCTCATTGCGGTGAGCGTTGCTCTTTACTGCTGTTGCTGCTGCTGTTGCTGCTGTCGTTGCTGCTGCTGCTGTCGCCAGTGGCTGCATCGCTTGGGCCCTTTTGCTCAACACTTCCTTCTGTTCCTGCTGCAGGCGCAGCACCAGCAGCAGCAGCAGCAACTCGGCCTGCAGCTGCTTCGTGAGGCGCTGCGGCTACGCCGTCCACGTCTTGCGGTGTACGCGAGCTGCTTCGAAGACTGCAGCCTGCTGCAGTGTCTGTCCATCTGGCTGGCCCTCCAAGCGGCCCTGCTGCCGCAGCAGCAGCAGCAACAGCAACAGCAGCAACAGCAGCAGCAGGACCACGACCACCACCATCAGGAACAGCTGGATGCGCTGCTCTGTCGGGCTGGGCTGCAGCGCATGCAGCAGCATGGATGTCTGACGCAGGCTCAGCAGCAGCAGCATCAGGAGGCAATTCCTCGTTTGCTGCACCTGGTGCAGTCTGGTGGTGCTGCTGGTGCTGCTGCTGGTGCAGCAGGTGCTGCAGCGCGTGAAGAATCTCTGCTTCTTTCTGGAGCTGCAGAGACACTGTGTGGATTGATACTAACTCTAGCAGAGGCGGGGGGCTTTGTTTTGCTGCTACGGGGCTTTGCTCTCTTCGACCCTAAGAGTCCCTTGATGCATTTGCTGCTATTCTTCAGGTAAGTGGCGATCTCTGTCGCAGGGAGGCAACGAAGACTGTCCCCTGCTTCTGCTGCTGCCATTGCTGCTGCTGCTGCTGCTGCCGTTGCTACGGCTGCTGCTGCTTCTGTCGAGGTCGCGGAGCTTCGCTCTTGCGCAACAACAGCAGAGCCCGTGGAGGCACTTGGGAGTTTACGATTGACGGGTGTATGGCTCGAAAGCGAAGAAGTATAGCTGCATGCAATGTTGCATGCACGTCTGTTGCGTGCATGCATGCGGGTCTTTTCTATTAGGGCGTTTTCTCAAAGAAGATTGAAGACGGCTGAAGCGGCACTTCGGCGTTTCGTGTCCTTCCGCAGCAGCAAGCACCAGGCAGCAGCAAGTGCTGCAGCAACAGAGACGGCCCCAGGTGGAGCAGCAGAAGATGTAACAGTAGATGGAAGCACCTTGCAAGCAGCAGATATCCGCCAAGTCAGCAGCGAGTTGCTGCGGATGCTGCTGCTGTCGCAGGGGCCTCATATGTATCCCTTGCTGCAGCTGCTGCACGAAGTGGGCTACTCGCGGGGTTTCTGTCTCCTTTATCATGCAGCAGTTATCTGCAGCGGGGAAAGTCCCGTGCTGCAACAGCAGCTGCAGCGGCTCTTGCAGCAGCAGCTGCAGCAAACCGTTGACGTGCCGCTGCAGGAGACGCGCAGCGACCTCTTGCTGGCGCTGCTTCAGCAGCGCAAGTATAAGGAAGCCCGTCAGTGGGCAAGACTGGCGGGTGAGCATTAAAGCTCGAATGACAGCAGCACAAGTTTTCTTTGACTACAAGAGCTTCTGCATACTGGGAAGCGAACGAACAGGAGAAGCAGCAACCGCAGCAGCTGTTGCTGCAGCAGCAACAGCAGCAGCAGCAGGAAACAGACGGTTCCTTGCAAGCGTTTGTGTGCCGATTTGTCGTGCCCCAGATCGAGTCACTCTATTGTAGCTGTTGTTGTTGCTATCGCTGCTGCTGCTGATATTGATGCTGCTGCTGCTACTGGTGCTGCTGTTGCTGCTGCCACTGCAGGCTTGGGGGCCAGCTGCGTGCAGCTGGTGACTGTGCACGAAGTCGCAGAGTGTCTGGAGGGGCTTCGAAGGACGAGCAAGAGCTTTCGGGGCTCTGTAGAGGAGCGTTTAGGTGTATGGGCGCGCTGCTGCGAGCTGTTTGCTGTTCACAAGTACCCGCCAGTCCTTGCTGCTGTCTTTCTTTTGACTGTCTCCGCGCAAATGGAAGGAGACATCTCTCTCACTGAACAAGCCTTTCTCTTGGCTGCAGCTCTCAGCTTATTCGGGGCCCCCCACCCACTCCCTGCTGCTCTCTACACTCGAGAGGCTCTGCTGCAGCACCTTGTACACTGCGCACAGGGCAGCTGCTCAAAGTGTGGCAACAACTGCAGCAGCGACAGCAACAGCAACAGCAGCAGCAGCAGCGGCAGCGCCGGCAGTAGCAGCAGCAGTGGGGGCCTCACCCTGATTGACTGTCTTCCCTTGCAGCCGGAGGAGATGCGTTCTGTCTTTTGGATTAGACAAGCAGATGCTGCTGCTGATGCTGCAGCAGAAGAAGAGGGGTTTTTCTGCTGCAGCTTACCAGATACCGACTCCAAAAGGCAGGAGTCCTTAGAGGACAGCAGCAACTGCTGCTGGCAAAGCTGCTGCAGATGCATGGTCTCCTCGCAGCTGCTTGCGCAGCTGCAGGGACGCCTGTTGTTGCTTCTCACGTCGCAATCCACAGCAGCTGCTGCTGCCGCTGCACTGACACCGGAGCTCACGGGGAGCCTCTGGGGATCTCAGGCACCTGCTGCGACCCCGCAGTTGCTGCTGCATGGTGCAGCTACACCACTCAAGCCTTGCTGCAGCACCAACAACATGCAGCAGCTGTTGAAGCAGCTGCAGCAGTTGGTAGAGCCTGACGCTCCTGCGCTGCCGCTGCACTACTTAGGGGTTCCACAGTGGCCTCCTCTCCCTGACGGCGAACTGGATGACAGGGACTTGCAGCAGCAGCGGCAACAGCAACAGCAGCAACAGCAGCAGCAGCAGCATCATAGGGGCGGAGTTGACGGAGGCGAAGGGGTGTCTGTGGAGACGCTGCAAGGTAGGACGCCGCAGGCTCAGTCTGCCAACAAGGTCCTGCTGCAGCAGCTGCAGAAGGCTGTTCATAATGCCATAGCCATCGGGTGTACGCACATTGCAAGAGCCCTAGTGGGCAGCTTTGTGACTTTGCTGCGAAGCTCGCCTGCTGCTGCTCCCGCTACTACTACTACTGCTGCTGCTGCTGCTTCCACTGGTTCAAGCATCAGAGTCGTCCAGGAGGAGCAGCAGCGGAAGCAGCAGCAGCTGCTGCAGGGCCTTTCGCAAGAAGTGCAGCTGGCGGAGCTGCTACTGCGGGTGGTAGCACTACCGATCCCTCTGAGGGCGCAACAGCAGCAGCTGGTGTTGCTGCAGACCTTGTCTGCTGCTGCTGCTGCTGCATGCGCAGCCACCCGACCAGGAGTGTACCCGCTGCCGCAGCTCCACAAGGAACTGCTGCAAATGCTGCAGGAACACGTGGGATCTCCTGCGGCTCAAGAGACGGTGCAGCAGCGACAGCAGCAGCGGCAGCAGCAGTCTCACGACGAGCTGCAGCAAGACAACGAGAATGAGCAGCAGCACCCTCTTTCCCTGCAGATGCACAGGCAGCAGCTGCAGCTATTGTCTCAGCTAGTGCAGCGATGCAAGCCTGGGCTTCATGCGTTTTGCCTGGAGTTGCTGATCCTTTTCGCCGTCAGTCTTGTGCTCGTGTCTCCATTTAATGAAGTGCTGCAACAGCAGCAGCGGCAGCCACAAGAGCTGTTGCTGAGGCTGCTGCTTGCTGCTGCCTTCCCTACTTCTGACATACCTAAACCTTCTCTGTGCATGCGGTTTGCTGCAAAGCTTACCCGCGACGGGCGACTGCAGCAGCAGCAGGTTGCTGCGGTTCTGCTGGCTGCTTTTGTTGCTCACCAGCAGCAGCACTCCCACGTTGAGCACATGCAGCATCCGGGCCAGCGGCAAGAGCAGCAGGCAGAGCAGCAGCAACAGCAGCAACAACAGCAGCGGATTATCTGGTTTGAATGGCCGTTGCTGCTCCTGAAAGAGTTTTTAGGGATATGCGAGACCCCCGGTCTTGTAGGAGAGCATGCGTTGCAGCTGCTGTTGCAGCAGGAACAGCAAGAAATGCAGGCAGGGCGGCAGCTGCAACACCCGCAGGGGGAGCTTGAATCCCCGGTGGCTGTTGCAACATCTGTGGCGCCGGTGCTGCTGTTGCACGAGCAGCAGGTAGAGTTGTCCTTGCTGGCTTACTATGACTTGGAACGTGCATGCAACGCTGCAGGGCTGGTGCAGCTGCTGCAGCTCCTGCAAAGGCGACTTGAGGTGTACATGCAGCTAGGCAAGCCGTACCTGCTGCTGCGCGTTCTGACCAGCATCTCTCCGTCTCCCCAATTCAAGCCGGCAATGCAGTGAGGATTATTGCTGTTGCTGCTGCTGCTTTTTTCCTTGTTGTTCGCATGCGTTGGCAGTGCGGGCAGGCGGCAAACGGCGTGCCTGTGATGTTGGTTGCAGAATGCTTGTGGAAGAAGGCTACTTGCTGCAACTACTGGCGGCTTGCCGCAAGGGCATGAAGCAGCAGCAAGAGCAGCTGCCGCAGCAGCAAGTGCTAGAGGGTTGCGCTATACCCGAAGTCCAAGTGTGCGAATCTCTTGCCTTTGCTATTTGTGACTTGCTGCACTCCCAGTACGACGAGCAGCTGCAGCAGCTTCTGGAGCCGAACGCGAAAGTGCAACAGCAACAGCAGCAGGAAAGGACTTTAAAGATCACCTTAGACAAGTTGGTTTTGGCAAACTTGGAATTGGGTTTCAAAAAGGAGGCCGGGTACGTGCTGAGTGGGTTCGAACATTCTGAGACACGCCCGTTTGCTGCTGCTGCTGCTGTTGCTGCTTTCGGTGCAAGCGGTGTTACATTGGTGCTCGTTGTAAAGCCTTCCTTTTTAAAGCTGCATCAGCTGCGCTGCTGCGGCATGTTTCTTGCTGCAGACTTCTGCTGCAGCAGGAGGCCTTTCGGTGCTTGGCGATGGGCGTAGAGGTGCTGGAGCTCTACAGTGAGAGTGGAATTGATAGGCTTTTTCTGGGGCTTCAGGTGAGCAGAGAACAAAACATCAAAAAGAGGTTTTTGTTCTTTTGCCATTGAGAGTTTGTGCATGCGCTTCACCAGATGTACGGCGCGGTAAAGGGTCAGACCTCGTGTCTCCTTGAGGGCGTGCTGCGTGTCGCTGCTGCTGCTGCTGCTGCAGCTGCTGCTGCAGGCATCACGCTTCTTCATGGAGGCTGACTGCACGCCCCTGCACTTGACCTGCTGCCGCCAGGCGGCCCTAGTGGCGCTGCAGCTGCGGGCAGTAGAGCTGCAGCTTTCCCGCGAGTGTCTGCAGCATCAGCAGCAGCAGCAGCAGCGCAACGGCAGGCATCTAGTGTCGCTGCTGCTGCAGCATTGCAGCAAAGCCCTAGAAACGTCCCTTCACCCCTTTAAAGATGCGGAGGTGTCTCTAAAGGATGGAACAGACCTCCCGGTGCTGCTCTCAAGTCTCACCTCAAATGAAGCACCAGCAGCTGCTGCTAGCGCTTCCGTCTGCGCGTTGCGGATGCGAACAGGGGAAGCCGATGCAGCAGCAGCAGCAGCAGATGTGGAGCAGCAGCAGCGGTCTGCCTGGTTTAACAGTCTCCTGTTTTCCCTAGAGGGTTCAGCACTGCAGTGGTTTGGCCGTGGAGACAAAGAGGAACGCCGTGGGGGCTCCACGGAGGCCCCAGCTGCTAAACCTGCAGCAACTGCAGGGGCAGCAGAAGCGACGCCAGCAGCAACAGCTGCTGCTGCTGCAGCTGAAGCTGTAAAGGAATCTGAAGAGAGAGCTGCAGCTTCTGTGGGTTTGATCGGCCCGTATCTGCAGTTCTTGCACTTGTCTATCGCGCAAGTGCTGTTGTTTGTGGAGCTGCATCCCGATGCTTTTGTCTCTGGGCTCACTGCTGAGGTACGAGGGGGTGCAGAGAAGACACCCTGCAGCCAGCAACACGGGAAGGGCTTGCTGCAGCAGCAAAGGAAAAGAGGAGGCAGGGGGCGTTCCTGCACTTGCGTGCACTGCGATCAGAGAGTGTTCAATTTAGTTGGCTCAGTTTGGCTGTTGTGCATTCCAGCTTTGGGGTTTGCAACCTGCTGCTGCTGCTGTTGCTGTTGTTTTCTGAATGTAGGCATATCAGCACATCTATGGTGGAGTGGTGCAGCTGGCCTGGCCACGTGCGGTGTACCGACAGGTCATCCTTGGAGGGCGTATGTCTTACCTTTCTCAGCTTCTGGGCAGACCCTTAGAGGAGCAGCAACAGCAGCAAACGACAGCAGCAGCAGACATGAAGTCTGTGGAGTCTCGTCAAACTGCTGAGACGGGCGCTGGAAGGCTACGGGCGGGGTTAGGGACTCCACAGGGCTCCCGAAGGCCGCAGCAGCGACAGCGTCTGCCTCAGGGAATGTGGGGAGAAGGCCTCAGCAAAGCTGCACTGGAGGCCCTAGTATCTCTGCACCTAAGGGAGTTTGACTGCAGCGGCTGCAACAGCGAAGAGCTGCAGCGGTGCTGCAGCAACGGCAGCAGCAGCAGCAGCAGAGGTGCGCAGCGACCGTTCACTGTTCCAGGGATAACGGAACACGATACTGCTGTCTATACAGTTGATTATTCTGTTGACGCCGATGCCTACTTGCTGCACCCCACAGGGGCAGCAGCAGCAGCGCGCAACAAATCGCAGCGGGCCTGGGACGCCCTGAAGGCAGCAGCCGAAGAGAACCTCCTCAGGCTGCTCCAGGAGGCCGTGCCAAATATCCGCATTCGTTTAGAGGTGAGCACATCCCAGGAACCGCCCGGAGACCCTAAACGCTAAACTCTAAACACTAAACCACCGACAGAAACACCGCCGTCACTACCTATAGCAGTAGCAGCAGCACCAGCAGCACCAAAGCCGGCAGCACCAGCAGCAACAGCAGTATTAGCAGTAGCAGCAGCAGCTCAGGCAGCAAAAATGATAATGCGTTTCTTAGTTTTGTGAGACTCCATTAGGTTTCTCACTGTCTACATGGCGGCGGCGTTTGTGGAACTTGAGCTAACACTAAAGCTAGCTGATGTTTACCTTGTTTGTCTCTTGTTCATTGTGGATGCAGCTCTTTATGTCCCTGGGACCGTCATTTAATGCTGCAGCGGCTGAGTGCTGCCGCTTACTAGACGACAAGTGCCTCTACTTGCCCAGGGGATCCCTCGCTGGGGCTGCAAGAGAAAGGTTGGTGCATGCAGCCGTAGCGGAGAGCGCTCGCAGCCCATGCGCATCTGCTGCCGCCTCTGCGACTGCTGCAGCTACAGCTGAGCAGCGCTCCAACTAAGCTGCCTTATGTGCAGCAGACCAGCTCAATGTTTGAGGCACCCTTTTGCACTGCTCTCCAAGCTTTGCCTCGACATGGTTTCTTTCTTCACTCTTTCGTTCTACTCGACAGTTTATCTGCCTAGTCTTCTCGTGACTTCCTCCGCTGAGGCAGTTTTCCTCGTTTTGGGGGGGAGCCGGTTCGTGCCTTTCTCCCAAAGCCTCCGGAAGCATTTATATCACCTATTTGCACGCAGCTGGAGGCTAGCTTCCTTGCTGGGGTGTAGCTCTAGAGGGTACGGGAAGGGTGACGAGGCTATACGAGTGGCAGATGAAATATACCTCGCCGTCAGTGCAGATGCGCATACACAAACCAACGCTGAGCGCAACACAGGTGCTAGAATGGACGGCGCCATATGCTTGAAAAAGTAGGAAAACCCCTTTCCTTTAGTTCCGCGAGTGTTAGAATGGGGCGAGCCGACATCGTGCGCCCAATAGTAAGAACTAAGGGGGCGTTCAGCCGCTTCTCCGTAGGGTAGGACTTCTTCATGAAGCGGCAGCGGGTCCATAACGTTAATCTCTGATGAAAGCATATTTGCGCCCTAAAACTTCATCGCAGTTCTTAACGAATCGAAGCTATCTAGCTAGTTGGTGATAGCTTCCCGGAAAAAGGAAGCGGACGCCAGTAACTACTACGACGCTCTTGCAACTTCGGGTTTACCTGCTCAGATGACTTTCTCTAAGCGAGACTTTGCAGATGCCACCTGCATTCTGTATGGAGATCATTTGCTCTGCAGCTACGGTATGTCTGTGGGCCGCCCCTCTGTTGCTTTTTCCTGTGTTGGCGCATCGTGAATCGCAGGTAGACGCCAGTTCCCATGCTGCTTTTTGAACCTAGGTCTCCCTGGCGGTGGTTGAATACTTCTAAAATACCGTCGGGATCGATGGATCTCCCTTCAATCCCTTATTTCCGACTTGCGCTCCCCCTTGCAAGCATTAAGTGCAGTAGGTGCGGTTCCTTGCCGTCAGGCTTACGTAAATTTGCACTCAGCTGTGAGTAGGGGCTTTTAAGTGACTAGCTGCGCATGAACAACAGTACGTGGAGGCGCAGATGTAGTATTCACGCATCGTGTCGTTGATAGCCTCCTTTCCTCCTCCCATCTTCTCCCCTCCTTTCAGAAGGCCCATACACCAGGAAAAAACATTAGACGCGTTTGAAGAGGTTTTCACGGTTAGCCTGTTGGTGCTGGTCTATAGCAGTCTCAGTGAAAAGCCTTCACTGAAAGACCCTTAGATAAAAGTGAGGTGCATGTCTTATGTTGAAGTTCGCAGCCGCGGTCTGGCCAACATCTAGCGTTGCTTGCTTGCCATCTCTGTGGCGCGGCTATCACTTGAGAAGCAAGCGCTGATTCAGTCAGTCTGGTGTATTTGCCTTTCAGTGCATAACAAGTCATACGCTCCTCAGTTGCCACATGCGCTTACGAAAGTTGCATAGAAGGAAGCTAGCGATGGAGCTGTTGTCGCAGCAACTGCTGCCGCTCCGCCTCTGGGAGGTTCGGTGCACGTAATGCGCTGTACTTGCACGAGGAAGCGCCCTTCTATGCAGCGCATCCCAAGAATAAGGTAGCGAGCGGAAGCTGTGCAACTTCGTTGGCCCGTGTTTCCAACTGGAAGCGCAAGCATATATATATATATATATATATATATATATATACCTGCAGTCACTAGGGTCCAACGGCCTTCCACGACGAGGCTATCCTATACAAAGCCATCAGCTTAAAAAGTTCCACGCCCCTAGCGGTTGGGGAAGAGGCGGATCCTGCAACTGTCAAAGGCCAGGACTGGCCCCTGTTTCTACCCTGTTGTTTCTTCCCCTTGCTGTAACGGACGATTCGTGACGAGCTTCTGCCGTGTCGGTTTCTGTTGGCTGTTTGCTGCTGCTGTGGTCGTTCTTATCTTTCTTTCCCTCCTTCTTAAGGATGGCGTCGATGGCAGAAAGACGCTCCAACAGTGGCGGATGGCTATAGTGCCACCACGAGTACCTGTTCACCAGCAACCCACCGCAGCAATGGCTCATAATGCTAAGAATGCCCAGCCCCCTTCCGCTCCCTCTACAGGGAAAGTATCACTTTGGCAATTCGTGAATCAGTAAACGCGGTGCATAAATCAAGATATGCGTAGAAGAAGAATCAGAACTGTGTCGGCTTCTCGCTGGACTGCCTTTGACTCGCGCTTGTAACTGACCAGGGGTCTGGGTCCAGAGTTGACTTGTTTTCCGTGTGAATTGTGCACAGCGCCTCCTTCAATTGTTCTCCATAGTTCAGTTCGCAAGCAAACGCATCTGCTTGAAACTCGTGCTTTCGCGAAAGGAGCGTAGAAAGGACAGACAGAACGGTGTGCACCTGCGTACAGCCCCCAAGCAACCCCAAAGCAGACACGCACTGATGCACACGGCCCAAACTAACCGGATCCAGCGCAGACTGAACATAAGAATGAGCGTCTGACAAAACAAAACGAAAATGGCGCATTTGCATATGCAGGCGGTGTGCGTTTGCAGAGGCTCTCCGGACCCACCAGAAAGCCTCTATGCAAACGCGCACCGCGCACCGTCTTCTCTGCTGCATTCAAGGGGGAAAATGCTACAACGCGTTTTGAATTATCGCTTATTATTGGAGTGAATCAGGCAGGATGGCCATGGGTGTACGTACAGGAGCGAGAATATTGGAAAGGAGCATCAGGCCGATAATGGGGGACTTCGCATCCGAGCCGTAGCCAAAGCATCTGTAGAGGTGGTCGTTGTTCATTACCTTCCCATAGAGGTAAAAGGTCACAAACAAGTTCATAAACACAAGCGTCAAACGCTGCGTGAAGTGGTTCCGCTGCCAATGACCCAGCTCGTGGCCTGAATAGACGGACACACGAAACAGAGTCTGAAGCCCCACAAAATATTTGGAGCGCCAAAGAATGAAAGCGACATCCTAACCAAAACAACTTGATTACGACCAAGGTATAATAGTATCTCGTGTGAGCCTTATTGCTGAGCTCCGGACACACTCTAAACCCGCTGTGTACAGTCTTCCATGCGCGGCGCGTGGGCCAGTACACTTGATACATGTGCACGCGATAGCTACAAAAGGAGAGTTTTAGAGCAGTGCAAAGAGAACAGCACCGGCAAGCAGGCCGGGACGGAACAAAACTAACGAGCGCATACCCAGAACTGCTAAGATCTGATCGTGGGGCAGATGCAGCAGAGTGTCAAAGATGACAATCCGCTTCCAGCGCCAAAAACCGTAGAAGTAGGCGTTGCTGTGGCTCGAACGCTTCGAGCCGTCCATCTCGTACACCTCGCACAGCGGAAACTTCAACTGCTCCGCCTGCGGAGCAGCAATTGAAGCCGCAAAAAGACACCAACATTCAAAGAAAAAGAGACACGCACGGATGCAGGCATCTTGCAATCAGCAAGAGGAGGTAACGAAATACAAGGAAAAAAAGACAAGCCCTCAGCTGAAGGCCGCCTAGGCACCCATCCATACAAAGGCGTCTACAGCGCTCAACCGCCATCCGCTCTGCTTCATGCCATTCGTACCAAGGCGTTAATTTTGTTCCTGAGTTCTCTGTCTCTTAAGACTTGGAACTTGTTGAACAGCGGAGCAATCAGATTCGGATAGATGACTATCATTCCGAATGTCATCAACACTGAGAATCCCCAGAGCTGCACGCAAGCACACAGCGCAACACTCTTAGGCAACCCTAACTAGGAGGATGATCCCAACTCAAAAACTCATGCCGATAAGCACCTGACGACAACGGCAACACTGGAGACTAGCCCTACGAAGCAGACTGTCATGAGATAGGAACACGGCAAAAGAACAACACGATGCGGCTCCAAGAGGAATACTGAGAAAATAAAAACTGGCTCGCCATACCCAAAAATGGAAGTTTGCCCCTCCCCACTTAATAAGCCAATTCACAGCACACAGAATAGGTGCCCCAACTGCCGCTGTTAGGCCCAGGCCCAGGAGCTTGTCCTTGATGAACAGAAGCAGCGTCTTTTTGTTGAAACCGTGTTTCTCCTCTACGCAGAAGTCGCCGTAGAGCTGGAAAGGGGTGCAGATACACTCGGACACCACCCGTTGTATTCCCATGAACAGCAAGGGACGAGCGTAATCCCCGTCTCCTGCCCATGCCCCGGCGATCCGCCAACAGAAGGGACCAAAAAAATACAGAGTAGAAAGGATAGAAACGCCGGATTCAACAAGAGAAGAAACCATGGAGAGTTTGATCTTGTCACTGTTGTACTCATTGGCTTGGCTGTAGGCCTCCTCTGACACACAGAAGCTCAACAAAGACGGAGGCTTCCTCTTGTTACTATATCGGCGCAGCTGCCTCAGGTTTAAATACTGCTCAAAAGCTTCTACTGTTAGTGAAAAGCCCACATAAACATGCAGCCACGGCACATCTGAGAACCAACCGCTCGAGAAGAACCCCATTGTGGCTCAACACGAGCGAGGAAATACGCAACGAGGAACAGAAAAAGAGATAATTTATTTCTTTGCTCCTCAGTAGCAAGCATGCAGATATGCACAAATCTTTTAAGCACGAATGGAGCCAGTGCCGAAGACAACTGCCGCCAGGACGCATGCAACTGTTCACTGTTGAGAGGCAACACTTTGTTCACAAGCACTCAGTGCCCCCTAGCATTTAAATTTGACGTGTTCGTTTTTCTCCATTTAAATGTTTTTGTTGTGCCAAGTTTGCATGCACTGGAGGCTTTTGGCTGGGTGTGGCTGGAGTACTGTGTTCCCGTGGAGCATGGTACATGTATTTCTTCTTGCACGCGCGACAACTACTTGAGGCAATGTTGAGTGTTCGACGATTGCCTACAGTGTCAGTAAATGCAGCAAATGGGTTTTGGTTTTGCGCGCATGTGGAGCTGCTTTCGTACAGGGATCGGTGTAGCATGGTCTGTGGCACTCTCGGTCCGAAGTTGGTGCATGAACGCGTGCATGGCCTTAGCAGGCAACGTGTAGTGCTTACATGAAAACGTGTGCACATTGTATGCAAAAAGGAACTTTTTCTGGAAAAACAGCAGCAGAGGCTAACGCACTCGCGTGAAGCGGCGGGAAACGCTGTAGGCCCCATTCTGTATCACTGCCTTCTTTCTCTGTCCATGGAAAACAACGCCTACAGAAGCACTGTTATATCAACCATTTAGATAAGCATTTAGGCAAGAGCTACATCTTTGGCGGAGGATCCTACCCACGCCTGGTAAGGGTTCGTGATTTACTCCTGTGTACGGGAGGTGGCTTCATACTAATCTGCAGGCACAGGTAATGCACAAAGTTAATGCTTAATTAAGGCAACTTTTCTGCTTGTATCATCACAGAACTGTTCAGACAGGGGTAAAGACCGCATCAGCCCCGCAAGCATCCCACAGCGCAGGTTTGAAGGGCTTGAGAAAAGGGATTATCTCTAAAGTTGCAACACGAGTACTTCCTTGCAGCTGTTAGGCAGTGTGCACGGAAGGAGTATAAGAATATCTACACTGTATGTGCAGATGGCAAGAATGGGTTAGGTTGTGATTGCATGTGAAGGTGCCTTGCAGCAGTAGTTGGGGAGAGATGAGTTGCAACGAATGTTAGCCCGCCTCTTCTCCCGAAGCCAGGCACTTGGGCGGCTGCGCCCAAAATTATTGGGAGCTGCAGCAGCTATCAGCTGCTTTTTCGGGTTTATTACCATAACTCTCGTGGCTCGACTGCAAAACACGACAGTCCTCAGATAGGATCTCAGACTCTCTCTAGCACCACATGGTTCATTGGGGCAGGTACAAGCAACGAACATCACCCCCACAGTGGGGCAAACCAGCGACTGGTACCGAAGTTGCTTTCAAAATACAAGAATAATTTAGAAATACTCCAAAAAACATATCTCTAAACTTCGGCCTTTTTTTCCGGATGTTCCACTGGCATCGGTTTGGATCTGCCCCCCGGTGGGGAGGGGGGCTTTGCGAGCCTCCTCGCGTCGGCAGAACAGTAAGTGTATCTCATCCAGCAAAAAGGTGGCTCCACCTCGGATGACCGTTCAGATTTGACGAATGTCGCGATCTGGGGACAGTAGAGAGAAGTTCCTTGCCTCTAGACTTGCCTTCGCCCGTCAAAAATGCACCGGAAGAGCTGCTTTTCCTATTGGGGAGTTCATTAGAAATGGACGCAAGGAGTGGTGGTGGTGGAGGAGAATATCCACACTATGGAAGTTTTCGGACGTGAGCTGCGATGTGATATGGACGGTCCAAAATATGTACTTCTAACCAACAAACCCAGACTTTCCCTTCTTGTGCCTTAGTATTGTATTTCCCCGAACAGCCCGTAGTTGCATTGCTCTGGGCCAGAAGAAGTAGCTTCACTTTATCTAAGACCAGTGAGACACGGGTTACCCACAAGAACCACGGTGAGTCACCCAATATTTCCTGCTACAGTAATGCGTAAACTCACATTACTATAGTTCTCTAGGAGTTTACTGATAAAATACTAGGTCTAAGGCTAGCGAAACGCCATTTCCCCTGAGTTGCACTATACTCCCTACTATTTAAGCATTAAATAAAGCTCCATTGAAGTCCACTTGTAAAAATGGAACGAACGGAGCTGTTGGTTTCCGAGCCGTGCTCGGCCTTGGGGTGCAGGTGACCGTGCATTTATCCAGTTGCCCCACCCCTACGCTGGCCAAAACGTGAACTCCATAATTATATCATGCACTATATCACAGTTTGATTTTATATAATTTTAATCCAGGTGAATCAAAATGTTCATATTTCTGCTCCAAGGCAAGTCGCCGGCACCACCTGGATGCCGTGCACTGGCGTCGAGCACCCCCTCAGGGCATGCAGACGACGCAACCGTGCACCGATGCATCTAACATGGAACATTGCTCGAGAAAACGGTCTCGCTGTAACAACAGATTTTCTGCAACGTAGTAACCTAATATTTACTATACACTTCAAAATGTACGGCTCGGCGCCTTATTTTCGCGTTGTTCACGCGCCTGTGGAGGTTCGTAGCGGCGCACGGATCTCCGGCTTTGAAGAAGCTGAACTACGTCATGAGCTTTCTATTCACAATGATAACTCTTTCTTCGGAGCAGAAAAGCTCACACTCACTAGGGCGACCTCTGTTGCTCTTGCTCTGCTCGCCCTCACTACTGCCATGATATTCCTGGTCCTGCAGTGCTTCAGAGCACTGACGCTCGACAAGAGTATGAAGATTCATAGAGTAACCGCACGGAGGCTTGCTGAGGGAGGAGAAACGTCTTGCCTTGTGGGTCACCATCTAGAGAGAACTACACTCGCTGCAGCCCTGCATTGCGTGCCCATATACCCAACTTCGTTGGCGGTGGATGGCGTTTGAGCCTGGGATGGTCCCTGGGCGTGGATCCCACGTTCGTCTGCGGCAGATATCGTTTGAACCTAGAATACATCCTACGCGCTGCACGTGGTGTGCGCGAAGGTCCCGAACAGAAGGTGTTCCTTCTCACTCAACCGCGGGGAAAAAAGCAACGCCAACCACCTCCACAAGCATGGCTGGTGCATGCGGCTGGAGGCCCTGGGCAGCAGCGCTATCGAACTTTTGCGAGTTCCACAGTGCAGGCTGCGTGAGAAACCCTCTTGCGGGCGACTTGCGTCATGGCAGCTACTGCAATGAGCATGTGTATGCTTTTGTAACGGATTCTTTGGCATGTGTCAGTAACGTCACATGAACGTGAAGCAAACCAACTCCTGTTCAGGCTCAGCGAGTTTGGCCCCATCATTAAGTTTTCTTTCCCTTCTGTTTTTGGCGTAAGTTCGTCTTCCCCGAAGCTGCGGGATGTTGAGTTATGCTGAACGCGAGTGTTTAGGGATCTCTCCTGGCATCTCTGGATCCGAGGGGCCATCTACGACAATCGCAGATGCAGGGAGCTTCTGTGTGCCCTTTAACCAATGTTACTGTGCGCGCCTCCCAATTTGGACTGTGCCACGCGCTTGCGCAGACACAATCAGCCGGCGATTTGTTAAGTGGGATGCTCATGCAGAGATGTATTAGTTCCTTCTTACTGCGTTTTCCTAGAAAGTGAGTAATGGATAAGGGCCCGTTGCACGAGTACTGCAGCTTGCCACTCACAGAGTTCTACTGGCCACTCGACCGGCTGTACAGCATGCATGCCAACACGTGCTGGGCGTCAACACCTCGGAAAACGCAAGTACCGCATTTGCAGCCGCTCAGGATGAAGCTCTCTGGTAGTCAGTGCCATTCTGTGCAACATTCGATGTTTCTGTACGCTTCTGCAGTCTCTGGCTTAAAGCAGACGACGCCGCTCTTCCTCGAAATGCCCAGTGTGGTTCTCCTAGTTTCTGCCGGTTTCTCAGTCTGCCAGCAGCTTTACAATGGTGAGCACAGCAGATGTGTGTGCTATGTCCTTGGCATGGTGGCCTGCCATGACCAGTGCTTTTGAAGAGAACGCACATATTCATCTCTGGCGTACACTAGGGGCTAATTCGAGAATGCTGAAGATAGGACAACCTAGACGGGTCAGACTGCTCCGTAAGTTGGCATGTCGCTTTTAACAGTCCTATTGTGGCGTACGTTTGCCTTCGTTTCTGGTTCAGTGCTTGGTTGCATTTACACCGCTTGGCCCGATTCCATTGCGTGCTCGCTGGTGTGAACATTGTGGGGGAGCCTGGCCAACGGTGTGCAGGGATGCAGTTGGTGCATTACAACGCGTACATGTGATTTTGATGAGCGATAGTGTTTACGAACGCTTGCTTAATTGCAGTTGTCCAATGCGTCAACCCACTGTCTCCTTCCAGGAGCCCGTAGCGCCAGCCGGGAAGATGCTTGAAACGGTTGCAAGCGCACCGTCAGTGATGTGGAGGCAGGCACTTTGTCGAAACAGTGGCGCCACCTGTATTTTTACAGAGGCAGCGACTTTGTTGTGAATTCGGTGAGGGCAAGCCAGGGTTAACTGAAAGACGAACCATTGGTAGTGCTGGGGCAGTAGTGCACGTTGGTTGCAGTGCCTCCAAGCTAGGCTGTGGTTCGCTTGGGAACTTCATTATGTACATCAGCTTATGCTGTAAGGTGGCATGTGCCATACAAGCGTCAGCGTTCATACTTATTTTGGCCTCCCGGGATTGGTGCTCCGCAGGAGTTCGTTACCGTTTCATTGCAGAATGGTCGTTGCCCTGTTTAGAGGGCTGTTGGCAAAGCATCGTAGACCGCCTTTCTCTGACGAATGTTTCCTAATCAGGAGCACAGTTTGGTGGTGGCAATGTGTGAAAGCATGGAAAATTCAGAAAAGTGTTCAGCTACATCAGATTCTACGTTGCTGCTGATTCGGACACTGTGGAGTAGGAAAAGGCGCTTCTGCGTACTAGGCGAGGATCGATTCGGTGTGCCTTTCCCTGCAGGGCTACGAGGAGACTTCACCTGTGGCGAAACACAGAGGCTGCTGACTCTTGGCC